GAAATGGATTGGCCAAGTGACAGCATCGATGGACTCAAGCATGGCAACAATAGTGAGATTGGCCCAAGATGGGGCAGTGTTTCGTTCTGCTGTGCATATGGTCACTATGAATTGGTACCTACTCAATAGTACCTAACAACAACAACAACAGGCCTAGAGGCAGGCACATGGACTTCTTGGTCTCAGTCCCTCATTTTCCAGCACCACCACCCCTACTACTTTCTCCCCGCCCACCAGCTGCTAGAAGGTTCCAGCATGTTATACCATGTAAAAGTTTATTAATCATTGCTAGTTCCTGAAATGGGACCCTGGAGCAGTTGTCTTGGGCCAGATTATCTCCAGTTGTTTCAACTTTTACATGTGCCTAAGGGAGATTGAGAGCTGATTATAGACTCTGTGGTCAGTCAGCCTAATTTGGCTTCTGTGGGGCACCATCAGACTGACTCTGGAACCTGGCCCTGACCACGTGGGCATGGGGGAGGTAAAGAGAAGCAGAACAATGGTCTTCCAATTGGAGGACTTCTAGCATCTAGAGGAAGACAATGTCTCTGACCTAGGGTAGGCCCCTGTCCAATGTGGGGACATAGTATCTGATCTGGGGGAGGTGCCAGTCTGATGGAAATATATAGCCTCTGAATGGAGGGAGAACCTGCTTTGCCTGATGGAGATTTCCTGGCCTCTATACTGGAGGAAGGCAATGTCTGATAGGAGAGATGTAGTCCCTGCGCTGGGGGAGGACCTGGACTGTCTGATGAGGAGACATGGAACTGAGTTAAGGAAGACTCTAATAGGGAAAACCTGCCTCTGAGTTAGCAGTGACTCTAACTGGAGTTCTCCTTCAGGTATCTTTGAGTGAAAGGCATAGCCCCTGCCCTCCAGGAATGTTCCAACTGTTCTGGAAATAGCTGTGAATGTGAAGAAGAGATGGAGGATGAGTACAAAGCACACTGAAGTTATTAGCACAGGAGATTGGGATCGAAACAGCAAGATGGAGTCTTCTGCAGTCAGACAGACAGGCAGAGGAATGGGGTGTGGGAATGATCCCTTTACTAGAAGTCAGGAAATGCAGGGGAAACCCTGGTCCTCCCCCAGATTCTGGATGACCTTGAGCCAGTCCCCACCCTCCTCTGGGTCTCACTTGTAATGAAGGCGCCTGTACAACTTGAGCCAAGCCCAAATGAAAACTCCATGGCTCTTGCCGGGTATCAGATGCCGTGACAAGGGGCACTTGTGGAGGGAAGGAGAGTGGAGCTCCCCACTCCAAATACTGGCGGAATGCACTGCATGCTTAGCAAGGGCCTGGGGATTGGAGGCAGGCCTGGGAAATAAAGGAGGGAGATTCCACAGTCCCAGCACCCAGCTCCTGCTCAGTCTGTTTGTCTTTATTTTCTTCTCAGGATCCCAAGGAAATAGCTTCTAGCCTAGCCGAGGGGCCTGGCTTGGCCATACTCTGCACAGACATAAATCTTCTCCAGAGGCCCTGGTCCTGCCCCCCCTCCTGTCAGCCAGTCAAGCCAGAGACTTTCTCCTCTGACACTTCTTTTTCCTCACCCCCCGCCCCAACACCTGGAGTCTAACTTTAATTCTGCCTGCTGCAGGCACAAACACATCTCTCCGTCTTGTTACTAGTGGAATGAGAGTCGCACATGTCAGCACAGAAAGCATTTCTCAATATCTCACTTTCACTGAGAGTATTCAACAGACTTCAGTGTAGGCAAGCTGTGAACAAGGCCCCACTTTAGGAGCTAACAGGGGGCTGGGGAGGGCATCAATGCCAAAACAGTCACTTCTGTTCCTGTCCCCTTTAGGGATCCACCTCTCTTGCCAACCCATCCTTTCTCTGCCACCCCATCTTGTTTCTAGATCATCCCCATTCTTTAGGGTCCTCAACTTTCAGAACCTGAACTGGGGCCAGGGAAGGCTTTATAAACTGAAGTGACAATTAAGCTGAATAGCAGGCACAGAGACCTTTGACTAGAAATCTTGGACATTCAAGGAACCCAGGAGTGCCCTGAGCATGGTGGGTGGGGGGCTGCCACAGGAAAGCTGCAGAAAGAGACAGCCAGGCCAAGGAGGCTGACCTAGGTCACGTGAAGGATGGAAGTAATAGGAAAGGTTTAGAGTAGGGTAATGACTCCTATTGGCAGGCATGGCTTCTGTCCCTTTATGTTAGAACTCGGCTGTCTCTGGTCTGTCTCTAAGGAGCTCTGGTGGTGTAGGGGTTGTGAATTGAGCTGCTAACCTCAGGGACAGCAGTTTGAAACTACCAGCTGTTCAGCAGGAGAAAGATGAGGCTTTCTGCTCCCATAAAGATTTACAGCCTTGGAAACCCTGTCGCTATGAGTCAGAACCGACTCCACAGCACATAACCACGAGACTGTCTCTACCATTAACATATGAACCCTTTGATGGATAGGACCAGCAGAGGGGACTCAGCCCTATGGTGAGGCACCCAGTCTGTGGCCTGGCACACACTAGTCACCAGGATATGTATGTTAGGAATATGAAGAATGAGGGCACTTGTCCAGCTCCCAGCTGAGGCCCAGGCTCTGAGCCCAAGCAAATTGGAAGACAATTTGTGCATCTCATACACTCACCCACATACAAACCTGGTGTGTCCCACAGCCTGGGAGGGAACAGACAGAGTGCACCCAAGGAGCAATTACCCAGCAAAAGGGGCACTGGCTCTTTGAGAACTGAGTGGGCAAAGCAGGAAGGAGTTTGAGAAGAGGGGAGCAGTCAGAGACTTTCTAGAGAAGGGAGGATGAGTGTGACCTTGAAGGGGTGGGAGTGGGGGGTGATAGACCAGGAGGACTGGAGGTTACTGCCCGTGACCAGGGTAGGGTGAGAGAGAGATAGATTCACTACCTTCAGACATGGGTAGACCTAAATGGAGGATAAGTGAAGAACACAGAAGAGAAGAAAAAGACCTAGGTGGGCTCGAAAAGCTATAGAACAAAACAGGATGGAATGGACAAAGTTGGGGGGTGGTGGGAAATGGGATGAAGAAGTGAAATGGAAAAAAAATGAAATAAGATGTGACAGGATGAATGAAATAGAACCAAATAGATGGCACATGGTACAAGTGCATGGAATGGAGTAGAATTACGGTGAATGGATCAGATGAGAGTGGAAATATAATGCTAATTCAAGAGAGTAGCATGGTAAGAAGCAGGATTTCAAACATGTAATAGAACGAAATGAACGAAGTCAAATATAATGGAATTGAAATGGACGCAGTATAATTAACTGGGATGGGATGTAAAGGAATGGAACAGAATACAAAGAAAAGGACTGGAATGGAGTGCAGTGGAACTAATTTGAGGAGGAACCGATTTAACCAGTGGGGCAGGGTGGGGTAGAAACACATGATGGGGCTGATCTACCTCCTAGCCCGCACACTCTAATCTCCTTCCCACTCACCCCAACAGTCTTCCCCAGGGTGCTGCTGCGGACCCTGCGCCACTCCATCTTCCTGCTGGTGGTCCTGTCCCAGGTGTGCATGTTGTCCACGGTGGCAGGCCTGGCCACCTTCCTACCTAAATTCCTGGAGCGCCAGTTTTCCATCACTGCCTCCTACGCCAACCTGCTCATTGGCTGCCTCACCATCCCAGCGGCCATTGTGGGCATCGTAGTAGGTGGTGTCCTCGTCAAGCGCTTCCACCTGGGCCCCATGCGCTGTGTCGCCCTCTGCCTGCTGGGGGCGCTGCTTGGCCTATTTTTCAGCCTGCCCCTCTTCTTCATTGGCTGCCCCACCCATCAGATTGCTGGCATCACCCCCGAACCTGGGTGAGTGTGTACAAGAGCATGAGAGTATAAGCATGGAGACAGGAGGGTGTATGTTTGGGGTGGGGGCGGGGGGACAGACAGGGAAGAGGAATTACCCCAGGTAGTTCAAATCGATGGAATACCCACCTACCACAAGTCTCACCCTTTACTATAGCACTGTGTTCCCGCCTCTTTGCCTAAATGCCCTCTATTAAGTCCCTGACCGGGCTTCCTTGCAAGAGCTAGGGCTATCGTTTCTGAAGGCACTGGTGAAGGGTCCATGCATCTTACATAGGACAGGGATGGAATTGCCAGGGCAGGCAAACTAAAGTCAGGGGAGGAGGTGGAGGCAGAGACAGGCACAGACCCTGTAATGAGAAATCTCCACAGTGGCTGGGGCTGTGAAAGAGCAGGAGTGGACTAGATCCCACTGGGGAAGCTGCACAGGGGCATATGCACTGGGAAGGGGTTAGACTGGGGACCTCAGAGGCTCTTGGTTCTTAGAGTTCAAGAATTAAAGTTCCATTGTTCTATGACCCTAAAATTCACAATTCTTTCCCAATTTTGTGCTTCCATAGTGGAAGGAGCCCCCTGATACCTTACTCCTTATTCACACACACACACGCACTCACACACACGCACTCATGCACACGCACTCACACACGTACACATGCACACACGCACACACACACGCACGCACACACACACGCACGCACGCACACACACACACACACACACACAGAGGATGTTTAAAGTTGCTTTCCTGCCTCTTCAGAATGATTTCGTTTTTTCCTGGGAATTGCTCCAGTCTTGAATTGGCCCAACACCCAGACTTTCCCTACTTTCTCTGTCCCCACTTCTCCCTGGGTATCTCTTTCCTTATTTTCTCACATAGTGAGGCTAATCCATGGTCCAGAGCAGTGCCTTCTGTGTGCAGAGCTTGGTTGTAGGCTCTTCAGGAAGGACTTGAGTCCTGCCCTCTGGAAGTCCCAGGCTGAGTAAGAAGTAAATAGAGAAAAATTGGTCTGCCCCATGTGTCCATCTCTCTTCTATCTCACTCCTGGACTCTGGCACCATCTCACCTGTGTTCTCGTTCTGGGTTCTCATTCATCCAAAGAGCCTTTCTGGACCAACAGAGTGAAATTAGAGTTTATCATACGCTGGCATAACTTGTGACAACTGCCAAGAACCAAGGGTCTACCACACACCGACATGTAGTGCTTCACATACCCTCACAATCTCTGAGATGAAAACTATTGTCACCCCCATTTTACAAATGAGGATAGCAAGGCTCAGAGAGGTAAAGTCCTTTGCCAAACTGGGAGTGGGCAAAACCCAGAGCCAGCGCTCCCCTACAGTAGCAACCAGCTCCAGGTGGTCAATGAGGGAAGAAGGACTGGGAGAGAGGCAACCTTTCCTGCTCAGCCTTCCAGCTGTTGGCAGAGACTATTCCTAAAACTGTCTCTCCTGGACAGACTCCCCTGGTATGGCCTCTTGATGGGTCTTCAGCTTGGACAGTGCCAGGCTGCTCTCCCTCCCTCAGACACATAGGTGCTGCCTGGTAAGGAAAGAGGAGGAAAGGACAGGGCTGGTTAATGTTCTTCTTCTCCATCTTAAGATAGGAGTGGAGCTCACCTTTGCCCCCATGTCCCACCTGTCCATCCCTATCTACAGGCCATCTCAGTAACAGTCTCACCTCCAGCTTCCCCAGCCCATGCTGTCCTACTTCCATGGAGTTGAGATTTCGCTCATCTTGCCAGACTTAGCCCTCAGCCTGGGCCTTGGTCCCACACCTTCTCCTTCAAACTCAGGGGATCTCCAGCTTCTCCCTGTGACCTCTATAGTTTGGTTCCCTGTGTCTCTGCCTCCCTAGAAGGTTTGCTGTGCTTTCTGCTAGCTGTGAAGCCAGGTCAGACACTGAGTCCTAGGGATCACCTCTCTGCCCATCTCAGAGAGACTTGCCCCCTTGGGCTCAGCCTACCTGCCCTGTCCCTCCCACTGACCCTGTAACAAATGGCAGGTGGTACCAGGGCACTCCTGGAGTGTGCGGGCAGGCCCTCAGGAGGGAGGCAGGTGGGACTAAGCCAGGTCCTGGCCACAATGGACAGGGCATAGGGAGTGGACTGTGAAGTCATGAGACTGCAGGATGGAGAGGGGGACCCAGCTGTGCTGACTGATGGAAAACCAAAGCCAGAGAGAGGCAGGAGCAGGTCACATATCCACTGCTCCATACTCAGTGCTAATTTTCTAAGAAAACCAAGCAATCCAGCTCATTGACAGAAAGTCACTTTCCCGCCTAAATCCTAGGGAGAATTTTTCTTAGGTTGAAGGGTCATTGAGAAGCAGAGATTTCTGCAGAAGCAGCTTACAGCCTTATAGAATCTTGGTGCAGAAAGAGATCTCAAAAGTCTCTGGTCCAATATACCCCCATTTCTCCTATCAATTTCTAGCCCATCTCCCTGTTCACAAACCTTAGTGTGAGGAACACACAACACAAAATGAGGGACAGCCCTGAAGCTCTAGCCATTGCTCTTAGGGATGGGGAACTGGGTTGTTGGGCTGCAGTGGCTCCAAATCCAGACTAGTCAGGCCAACTCTACCGGTCTTCTATCCCCACAGAGCCCAGTCTGGGTCTGGGCTGTTTCCAGGCTGCTCAGAGTCCTGTGCCTGTCCACCGGATGACTTTAACCCTGTTTGCGATCCCAGGACCCGTGTGGAGTACATCACACCCTGCCACGCAGGCTGTGTGAGGCGGGTGGTCCAGGAGTCTCTGGACAAAAAAAGCACAGTGAGTCACAGCTCTGGCTACTCCCTTAGCCTCTCAGAAACTTTGCCTTTTCTGTCCCTCAGCACCTGTCACTTTCTCCATCGCCAAGTGTCCTCACTCTGTTACTTGTCTCTCTTCTCTTGTCGTCTGTCTATCTCTTCCTTCTATTGGAAGAGATAGGAAATTATCGAGCTTTCATGGTCCAGAGTATAGATGTGAACCAGACCCGACCCCCAGCTGCAGGCGAGACTCCAAAAAGCATAAACAGGGGAACAGTTCCTACAAGTACAAGAGCCTGGAAGCAAATAGATCCCACCCAGAAGCCTTCATAGGGAGGAGGCCCAAACTGCATCATAAAGGGTGAGTAAGCAAAGCAAACAAAAATCCTCACCACTGGACCAATAAACAACATTCTTATCGATGGAGAAAAGGTTGAAGTTGTGAAGGACTTCATTCTTCTTGGATCAACCATCTACACTCATGGAAGCAGCAGTCAAGAAATCAAATGACGTATTGCATTAGGCAAATGTGCTGCACAAGACCTTTTTAAAGTGTTGAAGAGCAAAGATGTCAGCTTGAGGACTAAGGTGGACCTGACCCAAGCCATAGTATTTTCAATAACCTCATATGCATGCAAAAGCTGGACAGTGAATAATGAGGACCATAAAAGAACTGATGCCTTTGAGTTATGATGTTGGAGGAGAATATTGAAAGCACCATGGGCTGCCAAAAGAACCAACAGATCTGTATTGGAAGAAGTGCAGCCAGAGTGCTCCTTGGAGGCCAGGATGGCCAAACTTGGTCTCTCATACTTTGGACATGTTGTCAAGAGGGACTAGTTGCTGGAGAAGGATATCATGTTTGATAAGGTGGAGGGTCAGAGAAAAAAAGGAAGACTCCCAGTGAGACAGATTGGCCAAGTGTTCAACATCATTGGGCTTAAGCGTGGCAACAATTGTGAGGTTGGCCCAGGACCGGGTAGTGTTTCATTCTGTTGTGCACAGGATCTTTATGAGTTGGTACAGACTTGATGGCACCTAACAAAAACAATAAGCAAAGTAGGACTTGGAAAGAGAGGGCTCTCCAAGCAGGGGAACAGCATAAGCAAAAATCTGGAAGCACACACACCAAATATGGAGTTTCAGGAAATTGCAAAGAACTTAGTGGGGGCAGAATAGAAGAGTTAATGGAGGTAAAGCAAGGTGCATTCAGAGAAAAGCCTTGAATGCCAGGCCAAGAGTGGAGACATGATCCTGAGAGCAATGGGGAGCAATGGATGGTTTTTGAGCAGGAGGGTGATAAGATTGGATATGTGTTCAATCATGCAAGAGGCCATCATGTGGAAATAGGTGAAAAGAGTGTAAGATAGGAGATAGGGAGACCATGAAGAGGCTGGTACCATAGACTGTTCAATCAGTCAAGTCAGTCAGCTAGTCAACCAACAACTGTTGCTGAGCTCCTCCTCAGTGCTAGGCCCCGGACTGGGGTGGAGGACCCACAGCCATGGAATCCTGCCATCAGGGAGCTCCCAGTGTAGTCAGTGAAGTCATTGTAAACAGCAGTGGGTTCTCTGTGAAGACCCTTCTTCCTCAGTCTTCCCAAATGACAAATGAGGACAATGCCTGCCTTCCTCAGGCCCACAGACTGTATTTAAGCATGGGAGTGGGAGGAGGGAGAGAGGTCTCATGACATGACAATCAGAACCCCAACCCACCTCCATAAGGCAGAATCCCTGCTGTTGTTCAGAGCATCAGCATCTAACCCTGAGGACTTCTTCAGGGACAGAATGGGGCCTACCAGCTGGCCAGAGTAAACCGCCTAGTTGACAGTCCTTCTCAAACCAGCCAGACACCGCCTGGGCTGTGTAAACTGTTTATGTTTGGAATGATCACAATCCCAGCTTCTCAGGTTTTCTAATAGAAATCTTGGTAGAAATCCATTCTGCCTCTAACTGGCTCTGTTACCTTGGTCAAGTGTTTTGGTCTGTGAAATGGGGGACACAATGTTATTATGGCACTGTAGGTTCAACACTGGACTGTGAACCACAAGATTGGCAGTTCAAACCCACCAGCTGCTCCTCGGAAACCCTATAGAGTGTCACTGTAAGTCGGAACTGACTAGATGGCACTTAATAACTACAACAACAGACACCAGGTACTAGGCTAAATGCATTACCTGGATTAATTCAATAAATAGTAAGTGAAGCATCACATGACATAATCCATGGTAAGTAATCGGTTATCATGGAGTTGATGACCGATTACTTACCAGCTCACAGCTGCCCTTTGTGTGTCAGAGTAGAATAGCATTTCTTAGAGTTTTCAGTGGTTGATATTTTTTAAGTAGGTTGCCATGTCTTTCTTCCAAGGTACTTTGGGATGGACTTGCACCACCAACCTTTCAGTTAGCAGTTAAACACATTAACCATTTGTACCATCCAAGGACTCTGCACTTAACACAGTGCATGGAAAATGTTAAACACTCAA